AGCCCTTCCCTGAAGCTCGGATATCAAACCTTAGAGAGGAACAGCACCCACGTACATGATTCTTCTAGGTCTTCTGCGGTGCCTTGATGCTTGCACCCAGCTCCCTCACCTCTGTATGTTCAGGGGAGAATCTAGGTTTTGTGGAGCCTCTAACAAAAAGAACACATCTTGCAAATATTACAAAAACACACAAAAAACACGAACACATTGCAAGTACTCTTCCCAGGTGAGGAACCTTGAAGTTTCGGTAATTGAAGTTTCGGAACCATTAAGCTTCAGTAATTTCAGGGTAAATGCATCTCTGATTATGCATATGCGGGCACTTCAAAAAGTTCATGAAAAAATAAAATTAAAAGATGATTTGAATTTTTCCACAAACCTTTTGAAGATCCTTCGTATTTACTTACTGTCTGTCTCACACTAAGAATGTAAGTTCCAAGGTGGCAAGGATTTTTATCTGAATTCTTAGCTCCTGCATCCCTGTTCCTAGCACATCATAGGAGCTGCATAACCATTTGTTGAATGAACCTGTGGGGCTGGTACAGTTTTCTATGTAGAGATGTCGACTGCCCGGCCTGGGGCTTGAGGAGTGCATGGGTCTGGGACGATATCACTGAAAACCTACAACACCCATTTTAAAGCTGGGGGTACTGAGGGCCAGGAAGGTAAAGCAAGTGCCCGGTCAGAGGTGGCACTGGGTCGGCTTCCTCTGGCCCCTTCTTGGCCAGCAGCCACTGTCCTCCTCCTAACCACCCCTTGCACAAGGCCCTGATGCAACCCTGTTCTGGCGTGGGGTACCCCTCTTGGGGGAAGCACTGGGAAGGAGGTTTTGCAAGAGTTGGGGCAGGAAGCAGCCCAGGGCAGGTCAGGGAGATAAGGGCTCCCCCACCCCCTCCCTGCGCTCCTCCCAACCTTCTGGTTTCCTCTTCCCTTCCCTTTCCTGGAAAGTGGTGCCCAGACCCTGGCCCCAGCCTCGCCTGGCTCCTGCTATGGCCCTGTGACTCACCTCCTTTCACTCTGGCAGTCAGGCTGGGATCTGAGGCCCGCCACTGCTGCTATGTGTGATTCTGGACAGCAGGGAGCCCTCTCTGGCCGGCAGTTCTTGGGGCTCAATAAGAGAGACCAGCATGAAGAAAAGTTCTAGGGCTGGGCCTTAGTCTCATGAGCTAACATGGGGGGATCCAGCATCACCCCCATCAAGTTAACTTTGATTCAAATTGGCAGGTGTAAAAAGTCAGTGTTTGTGTATGAGGCACGTTGGCTCCTGGGGGTGGGGGTGTGGGGTGCATACAGAAGTCAGGGCCTGGTGATCCCTCGGCCTCCAGGACAGAATTAGACCTCTGCACAGAGCTCAGTTGGTTTCCACCTCGTTTAAGACCTGTGCCTAGCTGTGTGACCTGTCCTCTCAGAACTGGCTCACACAGGACCTGACCCAGGAGCACTTAGAGGTCGAGAGACCCTGGGCCATTTCCATCTTTCCAGGGTCCAGTTAGGTTTTTTAAATTAACAAATGCCAAAGCCTGGGTTCAAAAATCATGATATGTGTAAATGTCTTGCATTTATCCAGTTCATGCTTTTAGAACAAAAATGTATAGGGACCAGGTATGATTTCAATTAGAAATTAGATGAAAAGGCTAAACTGGATGTTGTGTGGGAACAGGAGGCCCCTCATGCTTGGACTGACCTGATTTCTGGAAAGTCCTCTAAGTCAATGTCCTGGTGTGGCCTTGAGTGTGTCGCCTCACCTCTCTGATGCCTCCCTTTTCTCTTTGAAAAGTGGGACTAGCAATGGGCCTACTCTCCTGATAGGGCTGTTGAAACCATCCTCTAAGGGCTCAAAACACTTTATACCAACACATACTAAATGTCTACTACGAGCCAGTCACGGAGCTAAGCTTTTCATACGCAACGGTTCCATCGATCCTTGAGCCCAGATTCTGAAGCCCATTTTCCAGATGATAAAAGAGAGGCTCACAGAGGTGAAATGATGAATATCAAGGCTGATTCCAGAGGTGTGTCCACCTGCCTCCCTACTGAAAGGTTAACTCATTATTATTATTATTATTGTTGTTACTATTATTATTACAGTGAGCATATGAAAACAAATGAGCATAGGAAAGCACTAGCCCCATTAAGTTTGTGAGGATTAAATGAATGGAGAGCTTAGTATAGTGCCCAGCACTTAATAAGCGCTCTATAAGTGTTCCTGAAATAAAAATAAAAATACCTGTTTAAGGGCTGGCCCGTGGCTCACTTGGGAGAGTGTGGTGCTGACAACACCAAGTCAAGGGTTAAGATCCCCTTACCAGTCATCTTAAAAAAAAATAAAAAATAAAAATACATGTTTAAAGAGTGGTGCTGGTAACACCAAAGTCAAGGGTTCGGATCCACGGCTGACAACACCAAGTCAAGGGTTAAGATCCCCTTACCAGTCATCTTAAAAAAAAAAAATAATAATAAAAATACATGTTTAAAGAGTGGTGCTGGTAACACCAAAGTCAAGGGTTCGGATCCACGAACAAAACAAACACAAAAAATTAAAAGTACATCAGGTCTCGGTCATGGCCCTGAAAAGGCAGGGTCCAGTGGTCAAGAAACTGTCCTGGTGTTTCTCTGCGTCCCCCACCTCAGCTCCCGACCGTGCCCTGTCCTGGAGGGGTTAAGGCGTTAATGATTTCCAAAGGAGCAGAGTTTTGTGTGTGACACACACGCACACACACACACAGAGGCAGCGGCCTCCGTCCCCCCCTCCCCCTCCAGGCCGGGAGCCTCTTATGCAAGCGGCCGGCGCCCGCCGGTTCCCAGGCCCGGCTGCAGCTGCGGGCGGAGGGGCAGGGCGGGGGCGGCGCGCTGTTTGTCTAGCGCGGCGGTGCCAAAGACGGCGGGCCCCAGACAGCCAGGCGCCTCCGTACACCTGGGGATGCTCAGGTTAAATAGCTCCGCATTCCTCGGGCCCAGCTGATGGAAACGCTCCCAGGCCGCCGCCGAGCCGGCCTCCAGATGGGCTGGGCCCGGGCCAAAGGGGAAAAGAGGGAAACGTGGAATCCAGAGTGTGCCTGAATGGCGGGGGTGGTGGCCCAGGCCCCCGCCGCAGCCCCTTCCTCCCCTGGAAGACGGCCCTGCAGTGTGGGAGTACGCGCCGGGGGGACACGCCCACGTCCCCGTGGGTGGGCTTGCAGGCGGGGGTCCCCGCATGGGAGGGAGTGGGTGCACACGTGTGCCTCCGAGGACACTCCAAAGACACACAGGCGACGATTAATAATGATAATTTATAACTATCGAACACTACGTGCCAGGCACTGTGCTAAGCACTTTTCTCGATTTATTTTATTTATTCTGCACAATTCTGTGAGGTTAGTACTATGAAACAGTAGCTGGATGGGGAGGGGTAGCAAAGGACGTAATTTACCTACAAATACTTCGCTCTTTAATAAAGTCCTTAAAATGCTTGGGGGGTGGGCAGCACCTGGCTAAATGTTAGTTCTCAATAAATAATACTCTTTAATTTTGTTGTTCTTGTTCATTCCCTCTCTGAGCTTGTTTCTTCCTTTGTAAAACTGGGATCAGAATCCTGCCTTTAGCCCCACTGGGATTCATGAGATCTTTTATGCAAAGGGTTGAGCATAAGTGTGCTAGGTACTATTTATACTATTTTGTTTACTGACAAATTGTATTAATAGTCCTTACCCTCCCTGGGACAAGTTCTTTGCCTTTTCTGGGACTCAATTTCCCCATGTTTAATACATGGGAGTTGACCTGGCAGGGATACTTGAGGGTTGGTGTCCCCAGGGAGGGGACACTAACGATTGCACAAGGAGTTGGTACTTGAACTTTTGAGGAGGGGTTTGCCCAAACACAGCTGCCTCCACCCCCATCTCAGACCTGCAGAGGCCCAGAAATGCCAACCGATCTATAAAACAATCACACATACAGAAACCCACCATGTGGTTCTGTGGCCCCCAAACACACAAACCTGTCCATTGACCCAGACCCATGCAGAGATGCTCACAATGCATTTAGGCAGAACACACAAGGCCAAACAGCTGGAGGTTGCACACTTATCTGCAGAACACATGTGCTCACATTTGCCCTTGTGCATACACCCCCCAGCATATCCTGATTTACACCCCAGGCTTGTACATGAACAGATGACCCAGCCCCATGGGGGGGGGTACTACCAGTTCACTCATGTCACATATACAGGCCCAGACACTCATATATGCACTCCCCCGTGAGTACAAGCCCACATGCATGTCCAGGCAGATAGGCACTTGCCAATGACACCTTTTTCCTGCTCAGGAGCTGGGGATGTGACTTGCCCTCTCCTTCTCAGAGCCCACACAGGAGCCCTGGGGGGAGAGGAGGTTCTTTTGAGCTGCTGGCAGAGCCAGGCCAGGGTGAGGAGGCCGAGTCCAGACCCAGAGCAGGTGGCTCAGCAGCTGTACCCAGCCTGGCCCTGCCAACTTGCTCACCCACTTGGACAAGCCAAGAGCCCCAGGGCAGCCTGCTGGGATCCAGGGTGATGGGGGAGGCACATCTACTGTGGAATGGGGTGACAGAAGTGCTGCCTCAGACAAGATATGACCCTGGGCAAGTCCCTTTCCACTGGGTCTCACTTCCGGCAACTTGGCAAGGAGGTGGGTGGTCCAGTGACTTGGTTCTTTAACTTAAATGGCTTGCTCAATACTCCCCCCACCCAGAGGGGGGAACTTGGCAGGCTCATCTGCATTTTAACAACCTCCCCAGGTGATCCAGACCATTTTGAGAAACCCTAGAGCTCTAGTGTATTCAATTTTATGGCACTGGGGAGCAGGGAAATGGCCAGGGATGGGGAAAAGAATAGACTTTAAAGACACCGGAAACACTCATTCAGGTCGGTGAGAACCAGAGTCCAGATGTAGCCCTCCAGTCCCCTTCCTCCTCTCACCAGCTGCGAAGGTCAAGGGTCAGCCCCCAGCCCAGGTCCCTCCCCTCAATACAAGAAGTCATGGAAGCTTTACCACCATCTAAAATATTTGTTTAATAACAAAAAAGACACCCCCCACATTACTATTGTAAAACAATATTCTCAGTCGGTGATCATTGTAATATACAATACAAAGCAATTTCCTCAGAAATCTGAGAAGCACCAAATGTGACCATTTTTTAAAATGTCTGCTTTTCAAAAAATAGAAACACACGGGGGGAACCCCCGCCCCAAAGTCTCTGGTGGCTGGTAGATGTGGAGAGAAGGTCGGCCTCCCCCTGTCAGTCCCCCGCCGTGAGCCGGATCCAGCAAGGGCCCGATGGCTGCCGAGCCGATCTGTCTTGTTACCCCCCAGCTCCAGCGAGGCGCTCGGGGGAACGGGAAAGCACTTATTCTCTTGCCCCTTGGAGAGCTGAGGTCCGCTGGTCCCCGAGCGCGGCGCTTCAGCGACACAAGATGCGATCGTCCGCTGGAACACATGCCGCCTGTGAAATCGAGAGGTGGAGAGGAGAGGTGAGACGGAGGATTGCAGACAAGGTTGCAAAAGCGCAGCAGGACCCCCCTTTCCCCAGGAGACATGACCGGGGAGCGCTTTTGCTGGTCTCCTTGGGCATTCCTGCAGAGCCAGGTGACCGAAAGGATGGGGCGGACATAGAGCACGTCCCCGCTCTCCCTCTGGCCTCAGTTTCCCCATCGGTAAAGGAATTAAGTGCTCCAACCCGGACCTCACCTCAGCCGCCAGGGCGCTGATCTCGCCGTTGAGGGTGCTGAGCGGAGCCCGGGCGGGCAGCCCGCGGCCCCCGGGGGTCCCCACTTCGGATTCCGAGTTCAGCTCCAACTGCAGGTCCCTGATGTAGTCGATGACGTGCTGGAGGATCTCCACCTTGCTCACCTTGCGGTTCTGGGGCAGGGTGGGCACCAGTTCCTTGAGGCGCGAGTAGCAGCCATTCATGTCGTAGAGCAGAACGTTCACTTGCTGCTCGTCGAGCAGGGCGGGCAGGCGCGCCCCGGCGCCACCGGCGCAGCGCGAGATGGCCACGCTCTGCTCGGACAGACAGCGCACCACCTCGCCCGCGCCGCCCGCCGCCTTACCGGCCTTCAGCGCGCAACTGGGGCCCGCGGCGGCCGCGGCGCTGCCACTGGCGACTTTCATGATTCTGCTGTCGGGTTAAAAGAGAAGAGAGGAGAAGACGCCAAGCGAACGGTGGTGGCGGGCACTGGACGGGATAGAAGCGCCCGGAAGAGATAGAACGCGGTTGTAAATTGCAAGAGGCCAGCGCCACAACCCGTCTTTTATAGACTCGCCTCGGCCCCACCCCTCGAAGGGCGGGCTCAGAACGTTCAAAAGCAGCCAATGGGCGGCCTGGAGGCGTGGCGCGCTCTTGGGTCAGCTCCACCAGTGCACGCCGGCGGTTGGTGGAAAGGCCAGCGAGTCTCAAGAACGGAGACAGCGGGAGGGCACCGGGCAGGACGGCTAGCGGAGGCGAGGGCTGCCTCGGGCTCCTCGGGAAGGAGGCAAGGAGGCTAAACCCGCATTGCCGATAACGAAAAGACCTTAGGAGTCAGTTTTCCCATGTTCACTTTTTCATCTTTCCTGTTCCATCTTACAGATGAGAGAAACTGAGGCTCGGACGGAGAAACCCAGAGGTCTCCCTTTCCCAGTGTCCAGTAGACCACTCGGGTTGGGAGTAGTTTTAAAAAGTCCCCCCCCCCCCCCCACACACACACACACACGGCTGGCCGGTTAGCTCAGAGGTGTTGTTGATAACACCGTGGTTCTGGGTTCTATTCCGTAACGGCCCGACGACAGAAAAAATTCTTCTTCTTAGGTTGGGGGCTGGGCCTCTGGGTCCTGAACTTTAGGTAGAAGGAGAGCAGTGGAGTGGGGCTGTATCCCTCGATTCTACCCTGAATTTGCAGCCCCTTGCAACAATTCCCCAAACGTGCAGCAACTAGTGATTTTTAATTTTCCTCCCTTTTTTGGCTGCTTTTTTTTTTTTTTTTTTCCCCTCAAAGACCTCGGAGCAGGTCTCCCTCCCACAGCGCGGCAGCTGCGGAGCTCGAGTCTCCCCCCCCTTTCTCCGGCCGCTCTGTGTCAGCGTCTGAACAAGCGGTTCAGACCGTTAGACGCCAGGCCCGTGACGTCACCCATTCATAAAACCGGGACGGGCTGTCAGGCTGGCGCCGCGCGGGCGGTCGCCATGGAGACGGCAAACTGGGCTAGAGCGTTCCCCAGATCCCCCGCCCGTCACCTGCAGACCCCAGACGGGAGGCCTGGGAATGCGCTCCCCGCGGGCGCGGTGTCTGGGCAGGGGTCACCTTACCTCCCCGCCCCACACCTGGGAGTCTCCCCACCTAGTCCCACACCTTGGGCCGCTTGGGAGGTTTCTTTACCTCCCCCACAGGCCTGGAGAAAGAGGCCTAATTTCCCATTGCAGCTCTGCTGCTGAGTGAATTTAGGTGACTCTCGTGTCCTTTCTGAGCCCTAATATTAATATCCCCTGGGCCACCCGTGGCTCACTTAGGAGAGTGTGGTGCTGATAACACCAAGGCCATGGGTTCGGATCCCATATAGGGATGGCCGGTTAGCTCACTTGAGAGAGCGTGGTGCTGACAGCACCAAGTCAAGGGTTAAGATCCCCTTACCGGTCATCTTTAAAAAAAAAATTTAATATCTCCCTGGTATTTTGATAATAATCACCAATGTGACCATTTATTGCATTCTTATTTAGTGCCAAGCACTGTGTGAAGAGTTTGCCTTTACATCTTCTGTTGTCCTCTCTACGACTGTAAAGAGAGGAGCTGTTTCGTTTCTTTATACAAAGGAGGAAACTGAGGCTCAAAAAGCCTCCCAAGCACCATAGCTGTAGTAATGGCTTGATTGTTACAATGAGGGCACATCATTGTTCTGTAGCCCCTTCCTGCTGAGGGCAGGCAGTCTGACCCCAGGGTCCTATACATGCCACTCACCCAGAAACTGAGGCTCACAGTAGTCACCCAAGTCCACACAACTTTAGCATTAGGGTAAAATACTGTGCTCACAAAGGAGGGAGTGATATGAAGGTCCTGCCTCGCCCACAGCAATCAACTCACTGGGTATCTGGGTTCCCTTTTCCTCCAGGCGTTTGGGGAGGGAGCAATAAACCAGCCCTCTGCCTCTCCATCAGGAAACCAGGAAAACTAATCAGTGAGAGCAGTTTCAAAGGAGAGAGACATGATCAGTTAATTAGCTGGATTCTCCATCCCCTTAACCACACAACCCCAAACTCCGCAAACTCCCTAGGCCTTGTTTAGCAACACTCTAATGATGGGAGAGAACATTTTGCTGCTCAAAAGTATTGCTGAAGAATTGGAAGGACAGTGATAAACCAGAGGAAATTAGAATATTAATTCATTTCTGAGTGTTTGTTAATTGACCCAGCAATTCTACTTGCTGCTGTCAATTCCAGAGAAACCTACACAGACAAACTGAAAGGTGTCTGCTTAAGGATGCTCATCGCACACTAATTGAAAGAGGGGAAGTTGAAGTAACCTAAATGTCTGTCAACAGTGGTGTTATATAAACTATGAATGGAAAATCAGTGGTTGTGCAGCAGGTGGGAAATATGGCTCTGAGAAATATCTAAATCCTGCAGTTAGTGGAAAAAGCAAGAGAGAGACCAAGAGGTCAAGGTAGGATCTCTTGTATGAAAAAAGCAAATCCACTGCTCCTAAATACACATGCATCTAGAAATGAGTTTAAAAACAATAGAAAAAATTGTTCTGTGGAAAAAAATTCAAACACAGTAGTATGTGACTTCCCTTATACAAAGTTCTGGAACAGGCACAAATAATCTATAGTGAAAAAGAAAAAAAAAAAAAAAAAAAAAAAAAAAAAAAAACAAGGAAAAGGGGGCTGGCCAGTTAGCCCAGTTGATTAGAGTACAGCCTTATAATGCCAAGGTCAGGGGCTCGGTTACCCATACCAGCCAGCCGCCAAAAAAAAGAAATCAGAATGGTAATTACCTCTGTGAATGGAAGGTAGGCGTTGCCAGGGAAGGGTTGTAAGAGAACTTTTTGGAGTGATGGAAATGTTCCATATCACATTGAGGTATGGGTTACACAGTGTATGAATTAGTCAAAACACATTGAATTCTGTACTTTTGTGCATTTTATTATATTTATATATATTTTTTAAAATTTATTTATTTTTTTGGCAGCTGGCCAGCATGGGGATCTGAGCCCTTGACCTTGGTGTTATAAGGCTGTGCTCTAACCATCTGAGATAACGGGCCAGCCTGGCATTTTGTTTATTTAAATTGTACCACAATAAAAAAAAAAAACTAGAAGGCCAGAAAAAAAAAAAAGTGGGGGAGGTGCTGGCGCATTAGCTGAGTTGGTTAGAGCAAGCTCCAGGGTTTAATCCTTGTACCGGCTAGCCGCATCCCCCTCAAAAAACTTAACATAACTCTATTATTCCCCAAAGTTTCCTTCTGTTCCTTATAATCCCTTCCTCCCCCCGACTTTCTGTCCAGTGCCCAAGCAACTATTGGCCTGCTTTCTCTATAGATTCATTTGCATTTTCTAGAATTTTATATAAATGGAATCATAAAATATAGCCTCTTTTTCGTAGCTCCTTGAGTCTGGTTTCTTTTATGCAGCACAATTAGAGAGATTCATCCATGTTTATTCCTTTTTATTGCTGCGTAGTATTCCATCGTATGCATATACCACAATTTATCCATTCACCTGTTGAGGGACATCTGGATTGTTGATAGTTTTTGGTTACTACAAATGAAGCTGCTGTGAACTCTTGTATACAGGTGTTTATATGACCCTATCCTTTCACTTCTCTTAGGTAAATATTTAGTAATGGAATGGCTGGGTCATATGGTAGTATTTGTTTAGCTTTACAAGAAACTGCCAAACTTTCCCAAAGTGGTTGTAGCATTTTACACTCCCATCAGCAGTATTTAAGAGTTCCATTTTCTCCACATCCTCACCAATAGTTTTTTTTTTTTTTTTTTCATAGTAGCCATCCTAACAGGGGTGAGGTGATATCTCATTGCAGTTTTGATCTGCATTTCCCTGATGAT